TAAATGAATACCAATGCTTGTTAAGGTTTGTAACTTTGCACATATATATTTGAAGATTTAAAAAGGAAGAAAAATAATTTACAAACAATTTTTGTTGTTGTTTTTTGTGATCAAAGAAAAGTCCTTATTTTTGATGGCGGGCATGATAACTCCTCACTGGAATATCGGAATCCGAAAATTCCAACGGTGTTAGAAAGAGTACATGTCGGGCTCTCGTATGAACTAGGATTATTGACCTCGCTCTAAAATTAACAAAATGGTGGACCTTTGAAAAAATATTTTTGGAAAATCGCCGATTTTTGACCAAAAACAAAGTTAGAAAATAAGGAAGATCTTCACCGATTGGCTTTATCCTAGTTCATACGATAGCTATACACTCACAGAGAAACGTGTAAAAAGTTGAAATCGATTGGGTTATTAGTTTTTGAGTTATCGTGCCCGCCATTCGCAAAAAAATGTTTAGAGACAAACGCGTTTAAAGTTTGAGAAGCCCTTTAGCCGTCACTTGATGCTGACACAATAAATCGGCTATATCTTCAAGAGTTCTTGAGATTTTAACTTGAAATTTTGCAGGGACATTCTTGAATTAGTGTAGGTTGGAATTAAATCAAAAAAAATATTGACCCCGAGAATGGGGGGTCCCCCTTAAGAATATTTTTTCCTTTATGGGGTGTCCAAATATAATGCAAATGGATTACTTCAATGGGGCGCCCTCTATTGGTCAATAGTACTATTAATGTTGTTTTTGATGTTGTACAACAGGGTGTTTCGTATGTCTGGGATGATGGATTATGTCTGTACTCTTCCCAGTCAGTAGTTTGCGGCACATAACAAATGATTCTCAATATGTACTTTTAGGCTCTAAAATTTTGAGCGTCATTTAGTTTGCACTCCTTGAAAAATTCTTACAGTCCTCAAATTTTTTTTTATCCGTGTAAAAATCTTTGTCGATTTAGCCATGTCCGTCCTCCTAACGATATCAGAAATATTTGGTATTGCAAACTGGATATATCGGCCTACATTTTGTAAAGGTCTGAATATAGTACAGCCCGTTTTAGGCATGTCGTTTTGAGTGGTCATAATATAAAATGTAATTTGTTTACACACACACAAACAAAAACTGTTTAACTACGTGATTTTATTCATTCAAAACTATCGGATCGTACTAATTGTATGGTGTGCGATAACTGTTGGCAACTATCATTAGCGTTTGATTTAAAATGGATTAAGTTTTGTTGACTACATTAAAAACAATGAACAAAAAGTGATTTTCGTGTAGTATTTTAGTTTTTTATGGAAAACAATAAGTGGTATATGTCATGCCTAATGGCAATTATTTTAAATTTATTTAAAAAAAATTGTTATTATAATTAGATTTACAACTATTCGCAAAAGGGTGTGCAATGTGGAGAATGATGAATTTTTAATTTATTATTGAATATAATTATTATGGTATAAACAATAAGTACATATACAAATTAATAATTTTGTTAAAGAATTATATAAAATTCATTCTTCATTGGAGGACTGCTATTTATATTTCGCACCTGATTTAAAAGTACAGTCATTAGAAAACTGTTTGTCTTATATTTTAGAGTAGATATGATAATGACATAATAACATGGTGGTCATATAAGACTGAGCACCAAATGAGGCATGGAAGTATGTCAGAATGAGATGCACGACTGTACCTAGAAATGTTGGTCTTTCAAATTGGAATAGCGGCACACAAGACCAACGAGCCTGGAAACATTTTTTAAAGTATTCATCGGAATATAACCTAGAAAGGCATCGCAATATTTGCCATTTCCAAGACCTTTGTAAATAATCGGACTAAAATCGAAATTCGAAATTCTTGCCTTTCAGGCGTATATGGTGTCTTCGACAATACTTCTGAAATAAATGTAAGGAATGTTTTTTCTAATACATTAATCCTTACTTGACACTCTGAGGGGGTCTTTTTGTCCACTTTTCCAGAAATGACTAAAAACTCATTTAAACGAGAGTTACAGCAGATCAAAATATTCTACAAAAAAAGTTCGCCATAAAGTTTTGCCATAAGTCTCCGAATAGAAACAATTCATAACATTTGTACAATTTTTTTCATAGAAATTTCCCCGTACTATTTTTCAGCAAATTGAATGATAATAACATACTTACTTAGCTGGCTCGAGACAGAACATTTGTTCCATAATCCGAGCTAAATAAGATTTCCAGCCGCGTCGATCTTGTACGCAGTTTATCCTATTTGAAAGACCATGTTTTGATATGTCATCCTCCACTTGATCTTTTTATCGAATTCGTGGCCTACCCCTTCTGTGCGAACCATCAGTAAACTCGCTTGTATATGCCATTTGACCTGGGGCACTCTCATCCGTTCTCACAAGATAGCCTAGACACCATAGTCGCTGCAGCTCCATACGACTTGGTATTCTCGCCATTTAAACGGCATATACATTAGAAATTTTTTACCGGGTTAACCTACTTTATGAGGATTTATTTGACATATATGCAAAGGAATTGGCAATTGAAACCCACTGGGTTAACGAAAATCGGTTATTTTTCTTGTTTGGATTTAGTTCGGCTCAAGGTTAAATAAAATGCTGTATTATGATTTCTATGCTAGCATAGACGGTGTAACAAACCTGTAGCTTCTCTCAAAACTATTTCCCTGAAGATGACTGTCGAAGACAGTCGAAATATTGGAAAATAAAAATAAAAAATCAGAAATCATAATACAGCATTTTATTTAACCTTGAGCCGAACTAAATCCAAACAAGAAAAATAATACATCACAGGTTAACAAAAACAACAAAACAAAATCGGTTAAATGTAAACGTACTGTTACTAGACCCACATTGTTAGACTCCTTCTCAATTTGTTCAAAGGTGCATGTTACCGCTCGCAATGTTCGACCCATTATGTCGATGTCATCGGTGTATGCGTAAAACATGTGTAGTTTGGTGTACAGAGTGACATTTCTGTTCAACCTTGCCTCTCGTATGACTTTTTCCAGCAGGAATGTTGACAAATGCCACCTTGCCTGAAAAAGCTGAAGTGAATGGTGGATTTGACATTTTGACATGTCAAAATGTCACGCTGGATAGCGCTTTATATGGGAACGGAACACAGAATCATTGGGCATGTATTCCTCTAGCCAAATTGCACTAATCAGTTGGTGCATGTTCCGGATCAGCATCTGACCATTGTTGGGCCGGTGACCCATCCGCACTTCCTGCTTTATTTTTCTTCAGCCGATTAATTGTTATTCTGACCCCACCTTGGCTAGGTTATATACAATATATATATCAACCCAGAACCAATAAGTGATGACTTATTGGTTCTGGGATATCTTCTTCACCTCTACTATTTAATACCGGAAGCTTTTTCAGATCCTCAACACACTATCTGTATCTGTCAGCAGCATTCCTTCTTCATCTCTACAGGTGGATGTGCCCGACCCAAATCTTTCGGTTTGGTGTTTTACTCAATGGTAAAATTTCCAGACTTCATTCTGAGTCTTGTACATCTCGATTTACTCACGTTCACGTTTTTTTGTTCCTTCTTCTTTCTTTTGTTTCCCTATACGCTGCGTTTTTCAACTCAGTAGGATTACTACACTCCTGATCGTACCATTGGTTTCTTGATGGTGGGGCCAAAAATATTTCCCCCACCGATTTTTGCATTAAAATCTCCTAGCAGAATGTTAATGCCATGGCCAGGGCAGCAGTCATATGTTGTTTTTAGGGGCTCGTAAAATATGTCTTTGGTCTGTTCATCTTTGTCTTCGGTCGGAGCATGGGCGCAAGTGAGATTGATGTAGAAGAATTTCCCTTCTGGAGTGAATCACCTACTGGAGTGAATCTGGAGACGAGGTATTTTATTTTCCTGTTAACCATATACCCGCAGAAAAATTCATTTCTCGTTTCATGGCAGGTATAATATGAGATTATTTTTCGGCAAATGGCTGTACTAATAGATTTCTCGTAAAGTAGAGATCAAACAATTTCAGATATATGCTGGAAGTGAACAATGAGAAAATTCCGTACATTTTACAGTTTTTCTTTGACAAAGGAGAAAATGCAAGTGGCTAAAATTGTGAATGCTGTTTATGGTTCCGATATTGTAACAGCCAATTATGTGCAATTTTTGTTTCGTAGATTCCGTTCAGGAATATTTGATGTTAAAAATCCTCGCACATGTAGGCTGGTCGTCGAAAATTTCGATAAAATCTGAGAGATGATCGAAATTGACCGGCATGTTAGCAGTTGTAACATGGCCCAGGAGCTAAAAATCGACCATAACTATTTTAAACCATTTGATCTATCTACGACTGTCCCTTTCCATCGCATTTCCTGTAAGGCAATAATATCGGCTGTGTACATCCGACAAAGCGAAAACTGCGCCTCTTCTATACAAAGGGCGCACATTCCAAGTGCAGATTCACAGATCGTTTGCGGGTTCGTCAACATTAGGGGGGTTTGGTTTTCATTTTCGTTGCATTTTCATCTTGGGCAACGAATCCGACGTCTCCACCCATATTTTTATATAACTGTAATCACAATCACATGATTGAATAACTTCAATCACAATCACACTAAATATCTCACCCTATTTGCTGCAGTTAAAAGTGAATAATATACCTCGTTTGCTAATTCAGAGCATTAATTCATTTCAAACTATAGTTCGGATAAAATCGATTGGAAAGAAAAAAAAATTGAATAAAATATTAACAAAAGAGAAATATCAGGATTTACCGTTAGAACAATGAAAACGCATAGCATTTCAAAAGTTCATCAAATTTTCGGATGGTGTTCATTGCAAAAATAGAAACAAAACAAATTCATTTTGTAAAGAAAATAATATATTTATTTGTCAGCAATTAAATAATTACTACAAAAAACGTTCCTATATAAATTTGTGCGCTTATTAAATGTGAAAAGTAATAAAATTTAATATTTCCAACTAAAAATAAAAAAATTAACGGATAAACGTAAAACATGTCGTTGAAAATAGTTTGGAATTTTGTTATTCTGGTGGCTTTGTTTGAAGATGCTGTTGCTTGTGTAGGTCCAATAATAATTTTACAATTTCAAGTGTAACATCTCTTGAATGAAAGTATTTCTTCTATTCATGTAGAATGGCTATAAAGCCAAAATTTTGAAAGCTGAAAATTGTGCTGGTCCCGATGGTGTTATAACCCTGGATCCTGATTTCTCGGTTAAGCTAAATAAGAAATGTGAAATAGTTCCCAAGGGTTGTGTTACCAACAAAGCATTCAGTACAGCCAATTCGAAATATAAAATTGTCAAGGATGGCATGACTGTGTCCGAGGGCACATTCGACATGTGTGGCATGGCTGATCAGGCACCCGACCAGGCAAGACAATATATGAATATGTTTGGCGTTCCATCATCGTGTCCCGTTGAAGATGTGAGTATGGAAATTTTTAGAAACCCTCTTAGAAATTTCAGTTGGTATTGCTAGGTCCTTGTAGTTGCCTAATTATACCCTACACAACTATGTTGTCAGGGTATTATAGCTTTGTGCAGCCCCAAAAGTTTGTAATGCCGCGAAATATTGGTCCTAGACTCACATTCAAGTATACCAATCGTCATATCTCGACTAGCTGAGTCGATCTAGACATGTGTGTCCGTCCGTCCGTCTGTCCATTATAATTTGTAAACACGATACAGGCCACAGTTATGGACCAATCTTCACGAAATTTTGCATGTAGGATGGGTTCTGCCCAATGAAGACCCCTATTGTTTTTGGTAAAGGCGATGAAATGGACCAAATACTAAATTTTTGTCGGTTTTTCTGGTCGCTCCAGAGGCCGCAAATATGGCCCGAACATCGTGAAGTTTTACATGGAGTAGGGGATCGGGAAAAAGAATGAGCATGCCTGTTTTGATAAATATCAGTCAATATTTAGCGGGTAAAATGGACCCTGTCTTTTGTGTGAAAAATTACAAAATTTGTATTCTATGGCGAATATATTTACTCCCGAAGGACATAGACTCGATAAGTAGATAGTATATCCAAGAGAAGTGGTTGCCCTTTAAATTGATACCAATTATATTGTCGTATGTACTCGGATGTGGGAGTTACACGCAAATATTTACAGGTGCTTACGTACTCAGAATTTTTTTAGTAACCCTTTACCACACTAGAGGGCTGAAATATATCTCTAATCGCTTTGGTATATTCCATGAGGTTCCAGTTATGGTCAAGGACAACGCCTATAATTTTCAGCGATGATCAGATAAAAATTTTGGGATAAATTGGACGGAAAACTTAATTTTTTCTGTTGTTTTTCGAGTCGATTATAGGCCACAATCGAAAGCTGGATATCACAACACAACCCACTGTGAAGGGAATCTGGACAAGTAATTAGAAGGGCTGTACTGAATGTCAGTAATATTCGTTGACCTCTCGTCGGTCAAGAGGGTGCAAATATCGCGAAATATTACCCAAGCTCAGAATATAGAACCACAGAAAGTTAGATTTTCGTAAAATTTGTGTAGGATATCAAATGGTCGGTCCCGTCCGACTATACTGCTCCGCTCACTGGTTTTTAAAAATATATTATTATAGAATCAAATACTATATCTATTTAGTCCTGTCTGTCCGACTGTAGAAACTATGATTGATATTTAATATAGAGCTATGATATTTTGCACAGACATTGCTAGTACTCCTAGGATTTTTGGATGTATTCCAAATGGGATATATCGGTCCACGTTGTGGTGTAGCCCCCATATAACGGTACCCCCAATATTCGGTATAATAGTGATTTTGAACACGTTTTTCCACCGAATTGTATTAATAATATTATCACAAGTTTCAGGATAGTTCCCATATAACGGTACCCTACCCCCAATATTCAGTATTTTGGGAATTTGGATACGTTTTCCAACCTAATTGAGTATTTTAGGTTCTCATTGAATAACACATATCCGTACCAAAAATTGAATAATATTGATCCAAGTTTCAGTGTAGCCCCATACAACAGTACTCCCCAATACTCAGTATTTTGTTTTATTTTGGACACGTTTTCCAACCGTTTTGATATTTTGGGTTCTAATTATGTAGCACATGTCCGTACCAAAAATTATTAATATTGACCCAAGTTTCATGGTATGGGGCATACCTAAAGGTAACCCCCCACTCCACTTTCTGGTTTGCCGCCAAATTTTTCAACCAAATGAACTTTAAATAATTTTTTGATTTGCCACCGGGTGTCAAATTTTCCAGGCGCGTCGGTCTTGGGCGCAGCTTTTCTAATCTGACTTTTCCATCGAATTTGTGGCCTTCCCCTTCTGCGTGAACCAGCAGTTGGCTCGCTTTTATATGCCTTAGGTCATCCTCATGCAATATCACAGCATGACCTAGCCACTGCTATCCGATAATAGAGGCGATATTCACCCTCGACGCAGATAGGCTCGTAAATCTTTCGGAGAATTCTTCTGGCAAACACTCCAGGAGGTACCTCATCTGCTTGCGCAAGTACCCATTCTTCAGATTCATATACCAGAACGGGTAGTTTCAGCGTCTTGTAGAGACTGAGTTCGGTCAAGCATCTGTTGGTCAACCTTTGTTTTATTTATGGTGGTCCGATATGTATATAAAATCGTAGTTCTCAAGTTGCACAGTTGGTCCGAGCCTATTGGACGCCTTGCGCGTTGATACCATCAACTTGGTCTTCTCGTCATTTACTGTCAGTCCCACATTGGTAGACTCTTTCTCAATACGTTCAAATCATACAGACTACGATTTCTGTTCACATTTGCATCTCGAATGCCGTATCACACGATAAACTGTCACCTTGTATAAATCCTCGTTAGGTATTAAAGGGCTCCAAGAGGACCTTTACGACTTTAACTGCTGACATTGTGCCTGTTAAAGTTATACTACATAGCCCAGGGACGTACGCAGGGAATGAATGAATTTTTTTCACAGTAAATCTATGTTTGCAACAGCGATTTTTTTTCATTTTGTACTACCGGCCCCCCCCCCCCCCCCCCCCCCCCCCCCCCCTTTTGCGCTCGACTACGTATCCCTACACCATACCGAAAATTGGTCGAGACCTTACATGGATGGACTGCGACTTAGCAATTATATAACCTATATATCGAACAAATTTCTTCACCATCCAAGATACTAGAAACTAAAGCTAGAAAATGGATTGTAAAAAAAATGTTCGTAATATAGGTTATATAAATACTAAGTCACGGTCCAAATTTAGACCAATTTCGATACCAAGTAAGCGGATACAGATCTTTGATATTTTGGATAACTTATTTTTAAAACCAATATCGATTGACTTCAACAATTTTCAAATGTTATTTATTGAAATTAAAGAGTTCCTTTTTTTCAAACTTAAGTAAAGAACTTTAATCAATTACAACTCCTTTTTATTTTCAGAATAAAATCTGCTCCAATGACAACAAGGTTGATCTCTCACAATATAAATCGATGCTTAGCCTTGCCCGGGGTAATATTGTTATTGATTCGGAAATAGAACACGACACGGTAAGTACTCAGCACTTGTTGCATGTCAGATGAGCGTGTTTTTTCCAAACGATATTCACAATTACCACCTATCCCCCTTTGTTTTGTTTTAATTTCAGGGTAAATCATGTTTCCATGTCGAAATGCAAATCTCCAAATCTTAGAAAACAAAAATCATTTATTGTTGTGCTAATTTGAAAAATGCGCTTAATTGGAAATTATTATGGACAAATTTTTGTTAGTAATCAGATCATTAGTAATTTTGATTTTTATGAGATAATAAAATTAGAAGTGATAATCTGCAAATATATCGAGAGAAAAATGTCATTGTGCTATTCAATTTGTAAGTATAAAGTTCTAAGATGTTTTTTAATCTATACTAAAATCCATATTGAAAATTCCCTATAATGCGGCTTTGAGAACGTCATAGATTCTTCTCGATATGTACTTTGGCCACGTTTAGACTCTAGCTTACATCTTACTATCCAAAATTGACATACTAGATCTATAAGAGCGTAATCCTATAATCTGTTGGACAGCATTGAGAAAAATGGGATTCAAAGCTCTAAAGAAAATCAAAACCAGTAAGGAAAGAGTAATGTCGGACGGAGCTAGTGTTGCCAAAACTTTGTATATAAAAATGCAAGATTTTGTTAAAAAAATCTTCAGGGTAGAAAATCTTCCTACTAAAAGTTGTCAATAATGGTCAACATTTTAGCGTAGTCCACGTTTAACAACCGAATTCCCTGTAATTTGATATGTAAACCCTTCACCACACTGTGGTACAGGGTATTATGTCTTTGTGCATATGTTTGTAACAGGCAAAACGAATCGAGATAGACCCATGGTTCCTTTTGAGAATATGCATAGAATAACTTTCTAAGTCGATTTACCCATGTCCGTCCGTCTGTCCATGTTAAATTGTAAACAATGTACAGGCCGCATTTATTATTCGAATTGGATGAAATTTGGCACAGCACATTCATTTGGCCCAAGGACGAACCCTATTGAAATTGGGATAAGTCGGTTCAGATTTAGATATAGCTCCCATATATATTTTCGTCCGATTTAATGTAAATGATGCACCAAAGTCCCTAAGTAGCTTTCGATTTGCACTAAATTTGGCATAGCGTACTGAATTTAGTCCAGACTGATATGTGCCAAGTTTCGTGAAAATGGGTCTAGATTTAAATATTGCTCCCATATATAGTTTCGTCCGATTTCATGTAAATGGTGCACCAAAGTCCCTATATATCTTTCGATTTGCACCAAATTTGGCATAACGTACTGAATTGAGCCTAGAGTGTTGTCTGCCAAGTTTAGAGAAAATCAGTCCAGATTTAGATATAGCTCCCATATATAGTATCGTCCGATTTCATGTAAATGGAGCACCAAAGTCCCTATATATCTTTCGATTTGCACGAAATTTGGCATAACGTACTGAATTGAGCGTAGAGTGATGTCTGCCGATTTTCGAGAAAATCGGCCCAGATTTAGATATAGCTCCCATATATAGTTTCTTCCGATTTCATGTAAATGGTCCCCTATATATCATTCGGTTTGCACGAAATTTGGCATAACGCACTGAATTGAGCCTATAGTTATGACTGCCAAGTTTCGAGAAAGTCGGTCCAGATTTAGATATAGCTCCCATATATAGTTTCGTCCGATTTCATGTAAATGGTGCACCAAAGTCCTATATATCCTTCGATTTGCACGAAATTTGGCATAGGGTACTGAATTTAGTCCAGACTGATGTGTGCCAAGTTTCGTGAAAATCGGTTGAGATTTATATATAGCTCCGTTATATTATAGATTGATCCAAGGATCCAATATATGGCTGATAGGAACAAAACGTACTGACATTTGTATTACCTAACCTGTGACAATTTTCGGTGAAATCGGTTCATATTACGATATAATTCCCATATATATTTTCGCCTGATTTTAAGTAAATTGGACATCAGACTCCTCATGTTAGTCAGATTGACATCAAATTTTGCACAACTTACAAAATTGCGTTTTCTAGAAGTACAGACCTATTGATGACCTATTGATATTTGTTTGAAGTCGATTTACATACTTTTGTCCCATTGTAACAATCGAATGACATGTTCATGGATAGATCTAAGTCGATTCACATTTAGATAAATATCACATATTTTATTTCATCCAATTTCATTTTAATAGTCCTGTTTAAATTACCCATAGTGGTGAAGGGTATCATCCCAAGTTTGGGAGAAGCCTCGGGGTAGCGCCAATTAAGCGGTACCACACATTATTTGACATTTTGGTATGTCGGGCACATTTTTTAACCAAGTTGACAATAATTCCAAAATTTTTAATTCTATGGGGTGACAAGAAAAAATGAATACATCCGTACCACTCCGTTTTTGGTATTTTGAAGGTTATAACCATAGCTTCCCACAAAAGTAACTGTAATTGCACATTGCGTGGTTTTGGACGCTGGCTATATTCAGATAACTATCAATCAAGGTTTGCACATGGGCTTCATATAAAAATGCCTCCCTATTTTCGGTACTTTGAAGAATTGGGCCGTATTCTCTGGGTTATTTTAGGGTACATATTTATGCGGATAATTTTCTACAAAGTTTTATGTTTGGACATATTCCCCCTACTATTTTTCTGTATTTCCGCAGGAAAATAATTTTTTTCCACAACGTTTCCAATTTAGGTTCAGGAAAACATAGAGAAATTTCAATGCGTCAATGTGAAATTGAAAGACGGCAAATTTATTTGAGATGAAACCAAAAATATCGAAATATCGATTTAAAAAAATCTAGAAAAAGTAAATATGCTAAAAAATATGCTAGAATCTATATATATATATATATATATATATATCGGAGCTATATCAACATAACCTAAACAAGTTTGAAAGGTGCTAAATCTAGCAATAAAAGTGCTAAATTGGCAACACTGGACGGAGCCGACTATATGATAACTTTTACTTCTATGGGTATATATAAATCAATTGTGTAATGAGAGCAGACCAACTTTGGGATCTATATTCAAATCTAAACCGATTACAACGAAACTTAACATACATCATTCTAGACTCAATCCAATATGCTATTAAAAATTTCGAGTAAATCGGACAATCGCAGCATCTTTGGTGCAAAATTTTCTTAAAATCGGCCGAAATATATATATCGGAGCTATATCTAAATCTGAAATGATTTCAACATAACATTCTAGGCTCATTCTTAGGAGCTATATCTGTTCCGATATCGCACGTAAACTTAACACACACAATTCTACACTCAATTCGAACATTATCCAAAATTTCGTCTCAATCGGACAAACGTAGGGTGTTTGGTGCACCGTTTGCGAACATAGATTATGTTGGAGAAAAAGAAAACCATTAGGCCTGTCGTCAAAAATATCGATAAAATCGGAGAAATGATCGAAGTTGAACGGCATGTTAGCAGTCATAACACCGACTTTTAAACCTTTTACACAAAGCTGAATTCAAAAAGAAGCTCGATGTTTGGTTGCACACCAATTAATAGAAAAACCAGTAAGGAAAGTAGTAAAGTCGGACTGGGCCGACTATATGATACCCTTCACCACTTTGAGTATATTGTACATATGTATACTTACAATTGCATGTTAATGTTCCCTCGAAGGAACATGCCAAAATTTGGTGGACCATTTACATTAATGGGAGCTATAACTAAATCTGGACCGATTTTCAGAAAACTTAACTCACATAATTCTAGACCTAATTCATTACGCTATACCAAACTTCGTGCAAATCGGAAGATATATATGGACTTTGGTGCACCATTTACATTAAATCGGACGAAATTATATATGGGAGCTATATCTAAATCTAGTCCGATTTCAGGAAACTTAACACACATCATTCTAGACCTAATTCATTGCGATATACCAAATTTCGTGCAAATCGAAACATATATAGGGACTTTGGTGCCCCATTTACCTTAAATCGGACGAAAATATATGGGAGCTATATCTAAATCTGAAACGATTTTTCCCAATTTCAATAGGGTTCGCCCTTAGGCCAAATATGTGAGCTGCGCCAAATTTCATCCAATTCGGATAATAAATGCGACCTGTACTTTGTTTACAAATTTAACATGGACAGACAGACGGACGGACGGACATGCATAAAACGACTTAAAAAGTGATTCTATGCATATTCTCAAAAGGAACCATGTGTCTATCTCGTTTCCTTTTGCCTGTTACAAACATATGCATTAAGACATAATACCCTGTACCACAGTGTGGTGAAGGATTTAAATATAGTATGGATCGAATTTCCATTTGCGAAGCCTTGTCCACACGGAATGAGATAGACCCATTTCGTAAACGGATGGTGACTAGAGATGAGGAATGGATCACATACGATAACCCTGTGCGAAAACGATCGTAGTCAAAAAGCGGTGAAGCACCTAAAACGGTGGCCAAACCAGGACTAACGACCAGGAAGGTTCTGCTATGCATTTTGTGGGACTGGAAGTGGATTATTTATTATTGGTTGCTTTCATATGGCCAAACGCTAAATTCTGATCCCTACTGTCAACAAATGAAGCGTTTGAAGATAGAAATTGACAAGAATTGGCCAACAGGAGAGGGCCGTGCTCCACCAGGACAACGCTAGGCCACACACACACGTCTACGGTGACTCGCCAGAAACTTCGGGAGTTTGGTTGGGAAGTTTTAATGCAAAATCTCTTTAGTGATAAATGAATTGATATTTAGGGAGTATTGTGAAAATGCATTACTAGAATTTTTGTTGCAAATAGAAAGTAGGACTTCTATGAGAGAGGCAATATGAATGGTGCATATTTGGCCCAAATCGGACATTGCGGAGCATGTTAAATAAAGTCTAATAGTTCATATACAAATAATGAATTTATTTTTCCCCAACCTAATATATGGGAGCTATATCTAAATCTTAACCGATTTTTCCAAAATGTAATACACGTTATTGCAAAATATTGGCCTCAATCGGACAATCGAACGAATATATATGGGAGCTATATTTACGTCTGATCTGATTTCAATTAAACTAAACACACTCTATTCTAGACTCAATTCCATACGTAGCGCCACATTTTATCTCAAAATCGACTAAAAACTTAATTTTTGTAATTAACTGTTGTCATCAGATAAAATAAAGT